CCAGTAAACAGGATTCTAAAATAACTCATGCACACAATTTGTACGTGAAGGTGATGGACCTTGTCCCTTTTACAATTCGTACGTAAAATAACGCAAATTGTTAGCTAGAAAATTTGCTTTTAACGATTTTAAGAAATCACCTCGGCTTTACGATAATGCTTCATGCAACGTTAAGGTTGATACAAGGCCTAACCTTAATTGTTAGTTCTGTTATAAATAAATTTCCCGTGACGAGATCTCAATTCAACTTCTTTTACTTCCTCCACAACACATTTTTCATTCAGTACAACTGGCTCATTACCTTCTCTTTGTCGTCACCTCGGTGCCATCAAAACACTCTCACACAAAACTTGTGTGCATTTGTAAGTTTAATCCGGGATAACATAATTGAACAATATATTCACACGTTCCTCGAAACGCCGCGGCCAAATGCTATCCAAACTGCTTCTTACTGCTGCTTCGAAAAATTTCGGATGTTACTAAAACGGGGAACGGGGAGCGGGGAGCGGGGAGCGGGGAGCGGGGAACGGGGAACGGAAGTCTGGGAACGAGTTGTCAGCGGAAACCTCCATAAAAATCTAATATGGCCTATATGGCCGATGATCGATGATAGAGAACCGTCGAAACAAACTTAACCGATAACGGCGTTATTTTACTTGAACTATATGCTCATGAGGCGCTTGAAATAATACGGAGGTAATAACTTCATGACTTTTTTCACCTTTTTGCGTTTTACTAAACAATTATCCCTAGGAAACAAAATATGCTCCAACAGCAGTTGAAAGAAGCCAATCGGGACAACTCAAAGCACAGCCATATTTGGAACTCAAGCGAATCTATACTGAGTCTAGCCCACAAAGCAATGAACTACTTTTCCATGATAGATAACATACATCGAAGTAGTCAAGTAGCTTGTGTGCAGACTTCTTCTATTTCCTTTGATAGAGATGACTGCTTTGAAAAATGTTATTGACCACGTCATCACATAATTAGTAAGACTACTTTAACAATCTGGTTCTGCTTTTAATATTATTAGATCTACTACACTGCAAGCATTCACGATATTGAAGTGTTTCACTGATCCATGAAAATAAAATAGTATCATTTTATTATTTTGTGAAACAATTTGTTTCAGGTCAGTTTGCCCTGTGTAGACCAGTATAATGACCCTAATGGAACCTAATTCACTCATTTTCCTCACCCTAATCAGTAACTGCTTCAAAGTCGTACAGTGGCCATTTGTCTCTCTGCGAAATACCCCTGACGACCCTTTCCTGAATAAAAACCATTGGATTACATTGAATGCAACATTCTCACTCACTGCAGATCCTCAATTAACCCCCCGCCCCCCTAAGAATGAGATCCCAAACCCCTCCCTTTTGAAGAAAAATGTCGTAAAATAATCAAAGTACCTCTTCATGGGCACGAAACGTTTGGTGCAATTCATACCATACAATATCGCTGTATCAAGTACTGTTCTCGGTGCAGGAGGAGGGGGTACTATAATGGCCTAAACAGAGCCTGAAGCCTTTTTCAGGCTTCAGGTACATGAAAGGGAAGGGGTTTTTATAGTTGAAGTATATGAAAGGGACCAAAATGAGATCAGTCAAAGATGCATTTTATGGATGTGAGAGACAAGAAAACCTGTTTTAGCTATTTATTCATATTGTAAAGATGGTGTATTTACAGCAGTTAAAAAGGGATGCAGCGTTCAAAATTAGGTATGTGAAAGGGGTACCATTTGTCACTAGAGGGTAAACAAAAGGGGTACGTTTTCTGTCTAAAATGGTACATACAAAGGGTAAAGGGTTGGTCCCTGGGGCAGAGCCTCTTTGGCAAGATCTATTGTGTTATTTTACATGCATTGAGTAAGCGTAATGTGGCCACTATACACATACAGTTGTGCGTGTTTACTGAAAAACATATCGGCAATCCAATCTTTTGCCTCCCATCACTTGTGTGAGACCTTAGACTCTTTATTTCTAAAACTACAGACAGCTTGCTTGAAGACTTATCAACCACCTTCTAATAAGCTGCCAACCTCTGCAACATTGATGATGTGATGCTTGATGGTAGGTGCACTGCAATATTACTGAGTCAAGCCAATAAAGCAGCTTGACAATATTAACTGGTTTAAGTCACTGATATTCAGTTTTACACTGAGCTTGAAATATTTTTCTCCACAGTAAAAGTAATGTTCATTAAAGAGAAGCAGAGCTCCCCCCCTAGAAAAAAAAAAAAGCATCCAGAGGGCTAAACAGAGGAAGTATACTTACCATGCATATTTTAACAGCTAGCCTTCAGAAAGTACCTTCCAACCAAAGACTTTAAAGTACTTCCCCCACGTATACTTGCAACACTTATTATTGCAGCTCAGTTGTGGTTCACTTTTATCCTAAGTTTGAATTTTATTCTCTTTGTTTTGAACTCGTAATCATAAAATTCATATTACCGTACCCCAAACAAAGGAAAGCAAAATTTAAACCTAGGTTATAATAAA